AGTTTTGAACTTGCAGGATCATACTGTGGAGCGAGTGAATCAAATAAGGGCCCTGCTTACGGAGGTTCATGTATTTACGTAAGAAATTATATTGATTCTATCTTCTTGTCAGAGTTTAATTTATATGCAAATTAAAAAGTTATTCAAATAACAGTCGTATATCTTACTACGCTCAAAACTATCTTACTCTGCATCTACACACCTTCAGAAAAGTGAACTATAGATACTTTTATTTTCTTATAAAATCTAGAGGAAACTCTGAACAAAATTAGTAATCTATCTTTTAAATCCATTGTTATATGTAGAGATTTCAATATTGATTTTCTGAGTGACTCCCACGAAAAATAAAAGTTTCTCAATTTAATGCATTCTTTTAATTTAGATATTACTGTGAATACATTGAATACATTTAAATCACAAAAAGCAATAGACCAAATTATAACTAACAAAACCACAACTAGATATGAAATAGAACTACTAATTTAATGAAGCACAAATTCTTACAATTACTAATAACATGAAGACCGTCACAATAAATAATACACGCGTGAGCAGGGCATTCACTAATGTTCACATGAAATTATTTTCGGACTACTTGTTGACGGAAACATGGGACACAGTTTATAACAATGCAGACACAAATAAAAAATATAATCTATTTTATCAAAGCTTTCATTTCACTTTAACGCATGCGTTCCTCTCAAAAAGAGAAATTAAACATATCACAATATGAATCAGAATATAGTAAACATTTCACACAATGAATTAGAATATAGTGTAAAAACAACCGTACACTTTGCTTTATTTCTAAATATCATAAGGTATTACCCGGTTCCTATATCTACTTCCAATAATACAAAAGAAATTTAAGGAAAGTAATAGTTCAGGCAAAAATAATGAAAAATAATCAGGATATTTTGAACGCTAGTAAATAACTAAAGCAATGTGGAATATCGTAAAAATTGGACTACATCATCTCGGTACTTAGTAGAGAATTTTGTTTTAAGGGATAATGAAAGAGAAGCAAGTAATTCGAAAAAAGTGGCTAATCTCTTCAACCAACACTTTTCTAGAATTGCGGCTGAACACACGAAGGGACCAAAAGCAGAAAATTCAACTTCATTTCCTTCCCAAAAATTTTCAATGCGATGTTTATTTCAGAAACTTCTAACGAAATCGTGAGAATAGTCAATAAACTAAAAAATAAATATTCATCTGGTTTAGATGAATTTCCGGATTGTTTATTAAAAACTTGTGTACATGTCTTTATACACTCGTTAAGTCACATTTCCAATGCTTCTTTATGCACAGGAATATTTCCAGATATTTTCAAAACAGCAAAAATTAAGCCACTAAAAGGGAGGAAAAATGAAATTCAAAATTACCGACAAATTTCTCTTTTGTCAGGTTTCTCTAAATATTAGGGAGGCTTTATAAAACACGAATGGAAACTTCGCACAAAAAACGAAGCGTTTTCAGAGTCACAACACGGGTTTAGAAAATCAAAATCTACGGAAACTGCCATTTTTTTCTTTTTCTAAAAATTCTGCTTCATCAATAGACCAAAATGACGAAATTATTGGAATATATTTAGATCTTTCGAAAGCTTTTGACGTTATTGAGCATAATAATCTTTCTATCAAAATTACCTTCTTACGGAATTCGTGGAATCGCCCTAGATTGGATAACCTCGTACCATATACATCGATCTCAATGAGTAGAAGTACCGTACCGATTTACTTATCTTTCCGATTCTTTAACAATTGAATATGGAATCCCGCAGGGCTCAATCTTAGGTCGTGTCCTCTTTCTGTTATACGTTAACTATATGCCCTCATCTATTCAAAACGGATGATCGATTCTGTTTGCCGATGACACGACCTTTTTTGCAAAAAAGAAACAATAAATAGTACGATTTCAGAAGTTTCAAATTGATTTTGTAATAACAAATTAATAGTTAACAAAGGAAAAATAGTTTCAATGCACTTTTGCATTTCAAATCAGCAATCGCATGCTCCATTCAAAATGAACCATATGCAATTAGCTGATGGTAAGGTAACAAAATTTCTGTCTCTCAATTCAGTCAAACCTCAAATAGAATGTACATATAACAGAATTAAACACAATTAAGTTCATTATGTTACGCATTTAGAATTCTTTCAAATCGTCAGCCTTTATGCAGCTCGTTGTGTGAATTTTGCAAATGTGCATTCCCGCCGGAGATATGGCACACTATTCTAGGGAAACTCATCATATATTACCCATAACTTTAGATTGCAAAATAAAATTATTCGAATAATGAAAAAATGCCATCCGCGTATCTCTTCATTGAGCTGGGAATCATACTATTGCCTTGCCAATTTATTTACGAATCTGATATATTTGTCAAACCGGACTTAACGGTGGGAACATATTTTCATGCTATACTGTCATTTCTAATTACAAGACACGTCGCAGAAATCACGTTCAAGTGTCTGTATCAATAGCTCACTACCAGAAATCCACTTACAATACATGTACGTTACTTTACAACGCATTGGCAGATGGCATTAAACAATGGAAGTCGGTACACAAATTTAAGGTAAAAGTAAAATCTTTTCTGCTGCATAACTATTTGTATACAATTAGTAGTATATTGATCATCACAAAGAAAAATAATGTTTATTTTAACAAAGCAGTGATATATATTGAATTAGTTTACATTTGTATTATTTGTATTTCAAAAAGACTTAAAATGCTTGTAAAAAAATGTACTTCAGCTTCCGAGTCAATGACCCCCATCTTGATAGTGTTTTTGTCCAGTTTCCCTGATCCATTGAGCAAATGCTGAGATGGCCCCTTGTTTTGCTTCTGGACGTAAATGTAGCTTCACTACGCACACGTTTTGTTGAACTCTTCTTTTGCTTGTAATGGTAGTAAAGGTAAGGGCGAGTTACTATTTTGTAAGCAAAGCAGAACAATCATACTTGCAATTCGTTACAGATATATTTTCTATAACTCGGGAACCGAAATGTCTAGTTTTTTTTCAAATGATGCTAATCTCGTCATTTTTTTAAATTTTATTTTTATTTATTTATTTTTAACTTTCACTCATCCTTCAACTATTTATAGTTAAAATGATGGGAAGGGATTCTGGAACTCAAGAAAACATTCGCAGATGACTAAATCAATCTAAATCTAAAAATAGTGTAGTACATGTAAGATTTTGTAAGGGATGAGGTTAGGGCATGGAAGGGAAGGTCGCGCGCGATCTGTGGCCCGTTTTTTAGGGTACTGCTCTGGAATCGGGCTAGTATTGATCGAAGAAACCACGGTAAAATACCTATCAGAGCAGACGACCGCTAGAATTCTCCTCCAGACACCAGCTAAATATTATCTACTTATAGCTCGACCACTTAGAAAAAAAAACAACACATTGGCGTCGGTTACCTCGGGAGGCATGGCTAAGCAATGCTGCACCCGAAGGGGAGTTCTGTTAAACTCTGGGACCGCCTGCAACGATAACCGATTCGCTGTTGCAACAAAGAGAGGGAGCCTTCCCTTCCGCCACTTTTCGCACATGCGCAATCCAGTTTGCTTGTTTTTTCTTTTCCCGAAGAGGTCGAGCTATAGTGTCAAAAACCCTGCCCTCATCGGGACACAAAACTCTAGGACCTCCCGGTCAGAGGCTTTGCAGTGACATCAATAGCCACCCCGATCCGCCAGGGATCTTATCCCTGAGTGAATTCAATTTTTTGAAAATGCTACTCAAAAACCAAAAATATTTTAATATAAAAATATGTGTTCAAGATGTTCCTGATTTTCCATTCACTTGCTGTTTTTAAGCTCATGAAAATTTAAAGATTATAAAATACAATTCAATTCTAAATTTTTACTTAGTTTACGAATTGTAAGGTTGATAAATTTATAAAATTACATGATGGATAGAAAAAATTGTTGGATTGATATGAAATGACAAATGTTTGAGAAAGTGGAGGAGGTGTTATATATAATCGGCTAGCAGACCCAATTTTTAAATATTATAGTACAATAATTTTTTGAGAAACTGGGTAGGGTACTAGCAGAGGCGTATCTACGGTATGGTAGAATTGGCATGTGTTATTGGTGCCTCTCACAAAGGCGCTATTTAGATAATGCCAGCTAAAACCAATAAGAACAACCCCAATTTGAAGTAAACTGACAGCGGCACAAATTCTAAGCTTCCCATGGCACCTGAGTACCTAGATACGTCTCTGGGTATTAGCTTTTATCTTATGGTTGAAAGTGAATTTCAAAGTGAACCAAAATTCTCTTGTTTCGATGTTATGTATACATGTTTAAGTAAGAGTGGTTGCTAGATTTACAAAACCTTTTTTTTTTATTTTTTTAATCTTAAGTTCACGGCTTTGAGGGTAGCAAAAGCTTCATTGGGGTGTCTGAAATTAGTCCAGAATTTTTGAGTTTTGTGAGAGTGGGTGTGCTAACTTCACTGATGTGCCAAATTTCAAGGTAGAGAGGAAGGATGAGAAGCAGAGCAGAGACAGCAGAGGTATTTAGTGTTGGGTAATGAGGAAGGAGAGTGAAGGCATGTGAGTCTTGAGATGAGATAACACCATTCAAAAGCACTTCTTTGCTCTTCAAGGACCAGATGTCTTCATAAAAGAATAACCTAATGTTTGTTTAACAATCCAGAGAATGGCTAATTACAATATGTTCATTCAAAAAAATGTTTTTTGTATTTGTATTTTTGCATGCAAACTATTTACCCGAGTGTTCATAGATTTTTTAGTACAGGTAACATACTTCAAAAATTAAATTTCTCAAGGTCAGTGCAATAATGGTTTTAAAAATCATTTCTAAATAGAATTCAAGAATTTCCTCGTGCAAAATATTTTGAGGACCACTAAAAATCAATTCATTCTCAAAAAAAAAAAAAAAAAGATAGATGCTATAACATTTTGTTATCAAAAATCAAAACCTTTTTTTTATTAATAAAAGAAATTATTAAATTAAATTATTTGAAATGGTTTGGTGCCTTGAAAATACTCACAATGCAACTAAACAAATTATGTGAGAACATTCAAGAATAACAAAAAATAAACTTAAGAAATGTAAGCAAAAAAGAAAATTCCACACTTCCCTTCATAGATAACAGTCAAAACGGTTCAGACAAGAGTTCATAATTGATTTACAACAACAACCAATGCTGATTAAAAAGGAAATCACATGTAATAGTATTTAAGGTGCTATATATGTGTTTACATCAAAACTGATTTGCTGAACACAGTTGAAAATTTCTAATTCCAAAAGTTAAAGTTGGACATATGGCAATACAATGAATTAGCACTCCTTTCAAGGCTTAATACAACATTCTACTCCTCACTTTTTCTTGGATATGAAATATTCTCCAAAGTTATAGCCTGAAATTCGAAAAAATGTTTACCATCCACCCCTTCCAACAGAAAATACTAAAAATCTTCTTTAATATGACTTCTCACTTTTCAATTCTCTCTGAAGTCTATATATACATATATATAATTTCTTAATGGACCATATCTGATAAAACTACTGCCATGAACTTAAACTCTGTAAAAAATAGACAGTTAACAGACGTCAATATTTGTATTGATTTCATTGAACTAAAATGGGCTGAATTAAACATTATAAAACACTTCAGATTATCATTGACACATACGTAGCACTACTTATGTAGCAAAAATATTGTAAAAATAAACATGAACTGGAGTTGATTAATTCTCTTTTATAGATATTTGCATAATTTAAATCTCATGAAACCATGGTTCTTCTCTCAATACGAAAACTAAAATGTACATTTATACAGTGTAGGGATTGGAACATTGTTATTATATAGAAATTTATTACCACGATATTATACAACACACAACAGCAAGAAAAATATATTAACTTATGTCTGAAATTAAATTTATAAGTACAAAAACTTATTATGCATAAAAAATTTAATTTTTAACATAGGACCACTATTTACAATTACATACTTACAAGGTCCCTACTTAGATAATGATTATTATATTGCATTATTTCTAATGACAAGGCTCTATTTCTGGCAGTTTTAAGTATTGGTGCATAGATATGCTACTGCATAAAGTGTTATTAGGGAATTGGTACACTGGCTTTTGTACCAGATTCATGAATCAATTTACACAGTGATGACAAACTTTGAAATCACAATCTAAACTTTGAGTTAAATCACAGGGTACGAACCACTCTTTGATTAAATTAATTTAGGTGTGAACAAAGGAAATAGGTCAGGAAAAATTAATTAGTGAAACTCCTTTCACACATTTCTCAACAAATGGAATGAACTAAACCGTTCATTACTATCCAAGGAGAATTCTTTTTTAAAACTAACACATAAATACCATTTAGTAAACATAAAATTCCCAGATGATTTATAATAAATAAAGTTTCTTGGTAAAAGTTCCACAGAACCATGTGCCAATAATGAGAAATGTGAACTAGTAATTTCACAAATCAAAGTAAATAGACATAGCAACATAAAATTTTAAATATACTGTAGTAAAAATATCTATTTAGAATTGTACACATTAGTTTGTTAAGTATGTTTTTAAGGTGAAAATTCTTGTTTATAACTGAATAACATACATATATATATAAAACAATTATTATTAATGACAATAATTGCAAATAACATAACTGCAAATCTAACACTGTACAAAACAATATTTGCACAAGTCTCAAGATGGAGGCTCATGTGAAAAATTAAATGTACAATATAAAGCATTAGTTTAACGTGTGAGTCAAAAGGTTTAGACAAAAAATCTAAACCCAAAACAATAATTGATAGTTCGATTTCGTTAAATTTTCTTATACTTATTACTTTGCAATAATGCAAAGCCCAAATAACCAATGTAATTTGGTGCGACTTGCATTCAATGTAATTTTTTGAGAAAAAGTATTTTCCATAATTTTGATCTTTTAACACTCACTCCGTTGTGTTTTGGGAATATCTACCATCTGTGTTCACCAAATTTAAGGTGTTTTTTTTTTTTGTTTTTGTTTCCAAACTAATACAAAAGAAGAAAACACAAAAGCACTATCGAGATTTTTAAGGTAAACATCATTAGATGTACAGAAGTTAAGTTTGAAATAACTTTATATTTTACTAAACTGTTAAGTATGTGAGCTAAGTAGTTCTAAAAAATTGTTTTGTTTTCCTTTTAGCACATATTATTTACCTACTCACAAAGCTCAAATATGTACTGAAAAATTTAATGCCTAAAATAAATGATCAGCAAGTCCAGTACATTCAACCAAGCATAAAACAATTTATATTATGTCAAGACTGCAGCAGAAAATAACAACAAACAGATATATGAAACTAATTCTATTAATGAGTATATATTACAATTCAATAAAAATGCATGGGGAAGCATTTTTGATGGTGTGTTGATGAGCAACCCTTTGTTACACAAAACAGGGAAAAAAAATCACTAAAAAGAGAACAGAAGAACTGGGCAACTCTTGAATAAAACTGACTACGAAAGCACTTTTCTCATGATAAATCATACATTTATAATATTGGAATTCTAAAAAAATGGGAACAAAATGCATTTGTTCTTACCTTCAACAATACTATTTCACTTCAAAACCAACACCAACACCACATAGCTGGGCTCTATTATACAATTAAGAAATTATAAAATTTAGGAAAATATTCAAAATTTCTTCTATTTATTGAAAGTCACTAGGTCCCACTTGATATTCAGAAAGGAATTACTTGTACCTATTAGCTAGTTATGTGCCAGCACAGTTAAATGAACAATCTTTAGGACAAATATGTACATATAGGCATGGCCATTATCTTGCTTAGAATGTTGACTAATGCTGAGTTACCCAAGCTTATTGAGCTAAGAGAAGTTTATCATGTCTGAACAGAAAACTAATGTTATTCACTGACATTATAAAAAATGTAGCAAACAGAAAGGTTCATGGGCTGGACGATAACACTTCTTTTCCTTTGGTACAGCATGCAAGAAAGCCCGATAAAATTCACAGTACACATTCAAATGCAACATTGACAAAGTTGATCTACAGTGAAGATGTATTGATGACAGACACATCATAACATTATAATGCACTGTCTTGACAAAGTACCAAAATTTGACAAATTTGTATGAAAACTGTGATATTAATTACAGGACAAATCTTACTACTGTTGTTCCTCTTCAACTAATAATTACAAAATAGGATAAAAATAAAAAAGAGTTTTAAATTATGAATTGAAGAAAGACATACTTTAAAAACATTTTGCAATTTGAAGCAACATTATGAGTAGAATAAACAGACATTACAATTTCCCCCTTAAAATTTTACATGATGCATTTCAAAATTGATGAGTAAGAGGAAGAACAGTTTTTTTAAATTTTATTTACACACAAAAACAAAGGCACAGTTCTCATTCACAAAATTGATAAAAATTACACAATTTCTATAAATAGAAAAATTAATAGAAAGCAATTCACAAAATGACAGAAAATGGGTTCAATATAAACTTCTACTAAGTAAAGAACAACCCAAACAAAAAACACACAAACATACAAATTCTAAATTATTTACATAATACGTAGGCAAAAACAAACTAATGAATCCCTACAAAAACAGTAAAAGAAATATGTGAAGCAAAGCAAGTGGTCAAACTAATTTACTATTGCATGAAGTACACGATAAAGACAATTTGACATAGCGAATAATTTTATCTAGTTCTAAGTTCATCTTCAAAATACGTCATAAAAATCACAATAACTATGTGATGAACATAATTTGACTATTGCATACCATCTCTGTGATTCCATCCATATCATGGTAAAGTTAATAATATCCTAATGAGGTACAATAAAATGTAATAAAAAGTTAATATTGGCCATTGTATACCTGCCTCTTTTATGACTGATTCAATGTGGTAATATTAACTATATTCTAATGAGGTATCACAAAACGTAAAAAATAACTCATTTTGGAAATCACTTATAAAATTCTCTATTGATCCACTTATTTGATGGTTATTTTAGTTTCAATTTGAAGATAAATACACAAAAACAATGTTTTATTAATGGAAAAAAAATCAATGAGCCAAAATTATTGATTCTGAAAATTTTTAATTTTACAAAAATATAATTATTTAACCATCATATAAGAACTTTTGCCACTATCTACTAAATCTCTTATCCCAAAACAGGCAACTGAGCACAGGTCACAGTTAATTAAAATCATCGCAAACCCACAAGATCACCATTCTATTACTTGCTAATGCACCACTCAACAACCACATCTTAGCAATGCTGCAATTCTACAAGTACACAAGTTGCATCTTAGATATAATTCGAAGATCTTTTACCAATAGCAATACACATACACACACCAACTAGATGACTTCAACAGCTTCAAATCCTACTTGTACAAAATCAAATATAAAACCATTGGAAAGTTCATTAAGAGTTAATTCAAACCAATGATGTGCTAAAATTCTGTAAATAATATAATACACCATACGTACATGAGAAGCTGTTTAAAACACTTCTGTGGCCTTGAACATTCTTTGACAAATCATTCTACATCATCTTTCAAAACTAATGTTATGTGAATGCAAGGAGATAATATATCTATTTAATACGAATAATTTCATTCAATGAAACATAAGATCATGCATGTTATATTTAAATTCATCAACAAATTATGCACCATGAAATAAAAATTGAATAATCAACAGACCAACTTTACTAAAAAAAATTCATTAGATACTCAAGGTAATTATTAAATGATATAATACAAATAATTATGTATCACAAAAAGAATTGATATTAAAATAACATTCTAATAAAAATCAATACATAACATGCTTCAATCTTCTGACAGCAAATCTCTATGAAAACAAATGAGATACTGGACTGTTTTAAAACATAAATATGAATAATTCTGAAAAATAAATTAGTTTTCATTTGAGGCAAAGAAGTCTGTTTATAAGATTAATGATCTGCATATAAATATGAATATTTCTGCAAAATAAATTAGTTTTCATCTGAGACAATGTAGTCTACATATGATTAATTATACAGATAACACAATTGCTCATCTTTGCACATTTCAACACAACCAAAGAAGCATGATGAGATTCTCAATACATGCTTAAAGAGAATACTTTTGCCCTGTGTACCGTAAGACAGCCCATTATAATTCAATCTTAATACGTAATTCATGTTCAACTGCCCATTATGACTAAGTATATTGAACCATTGGTTATTATGTAAATAAAAAAACTCGCACCTACAAAAATACTATTCAACTGAAGGAAGTCAAGTTCAATAACATGAACTGTTCAACACATTATTGTAAAAAAGATTTTGCAGCGCTACAATGAGGAAAAATTCTAATAGTACCTGACATCTAGTTTCCTGTTTTAGAAATCTTTATGTCACAAGGCAAAGGTTGATACTGTAGCTCCTTAGTTGCTTCATGTACTTCTTCTCTTTTCATATTCTCCCAACAGGTTCGACTGAATTGCATAGATGAAGTCAAAATTGTATTGACATATATGTAATATATATTTATATATATATATATAAGTCCATAATTTGGCAAAATATTAATAGTATTGCGATCACAAGTGCACCCTCCACAATATGAAGTGAGAATAAAGATTTCACTGAATGCAATGCACTCCACTTGAGGCTTCAGCACAAGTATCTACAGGTACCAGATTACAGCCATGAAGTAAGCCGCTGTTATAATTCCATATCTTGAGCTTCATCTTCACTGAAATCAGACATAGAGGATTCACTGTCCGAGGAGACACCTTGGTTCTCCTGTTCCCGGAGGGCTTCTTCGGTGGCATACTTTCTCACATACTCTAGAAACAAAAAGAAGAATATCAGGTAATCCAAAAAATTATCCAAAAATAAATGCCAATTAAAAGGGCTACCACAGAAAATATAAAATGAGAAACAAAATTTGTGAATCAAAATTTGTAAGTCTAAAATTCTCTCTCAAAGATTATTCTCATACCGACTACCTAATAAAGATGGGTTATTCTAGTCAATTATGTCTTGAATACTTTTCAAGTTCAAACACACAGATTTAAAAATAAATAAAGAAAAAAATGGCCCAATTATAATAACTACAACTTCCATTAAAAATAAATAAATCTTGGTAGGACACAAGAATAGCTGATCAATAGCTTGTATAGCTTGTCCAAGGTCCCCTGTAAGTACAAATCTTTGTAGTGTGTGTTATATACACTACGTAACCCTTAAAAAAAGAAATTGTTTTTAATTATAGCTTAATATAATTTTATTTTAATTTTGTTTATTAATATAATTTATACTTTCATAAATTATAATTAACATTAGCTTAACCATTTTAGGAACACCTTTTAAACTATTGCTTTATCATCAATATGTATTTTGAGCCGTAGATCACTTGGGTGTTCCAATGCTGTTTTCCCTGATATAAGCAATTTTATACAGATGCATCTTGATGCTAACAGCAATGCTTCCCCACATATCCCATGTCATATCCCCATAAAACCTTTTGGATTTGCTCATGACCAATAGGGGATTAATACTAAATAGTACACTAGGCAATTGCAAAAGAGAGCCCCCCGTCCCACCCCCACTAACCCACCCTCTCAACACATTATGTGTTATTAGGGTATGCATTCGTAACTTATACATTAATCATCTTAAAAAAAATTGATGCAAGATTTTATTTAATTTCATTTTTGGAGTCACAGAAAACATGTAAACAAAAAAAGGTGGCAGGGTTCAATAACAAAAAAATAATGAGTGTCCACGATTTAAAATGTACCCACTTTTTGCATTCATTATCTATGCTGCCATCGAATTTGATATTTGCATTTATGAGCTCAAAATGTCTCGTAAATTAAGACATGGTTATAAAAATAAAGTGTCTGACTAGTTTAATTATTTTAAATAAGTATTTCATGTCGTCAGGGCATTTAATGGGTTATTTTCAAAGAATTTTTAGGTCATCAGAATCCGAGCCCTGATTATTAGTGAACACCGAGGATATACTAATTCTGACGACCGGCTGACGGATTAAGGTTTAGTGGGGTGCAATCGCTGGGCCGCGTGCGAAACAGGAATGTCGCAATACTCAATCCAATTCCGACAATTAACAAATTTGTATTTTTGTCGATTTTATCTTAAAAAGGTACGCCTTTTATTGGGCAATACTTTGAAATATCCCCAGCGCTTCAATTCACTTTAGCCCATTGACGCCGAACATAATTTTGTGAGCAAGGCACTCATCAATTGTCGCGTACGTGCACGCGCTCATTGTTGGAGCTCTCTGGTAGCACGCTTTTGCAACTTTTAGTGCTAAACCACTGTCATGTTGCAAAATTATATTACTAGGGCGCTGCGAAGTGCCAACTGCTAGGTATACGAGTTTTTTCCTTAAAGTACCAAAATTGTTAGACCTAAACTGCATGTGCCGCTTTTTTTCGGTGCACACCAACCATCGTTTGCTTTAAATGGCCTTTCCCCCTGTTTTAACCACAGGCAAATAGTAGCTAAGCACGGGTTTAAAAGAAGATTCGAACCGATGGAAGTCATGTTTACACCCTGCCTAGAAACATACAATGCTTTAGCGACCTCGGCTAAATCGACATGCAGAAATTTCAAAACTTTTCCAAAATATACAAAGTATCTATGTTCGAAATATACATTAACTCAAACACGAAGAAATGTGAAGAGAAAAAAAAAAAAAAAGATATCTGCTGGGTTAAGCAGAACCGTCTGGACGTTCTAGAAGAAATCTTCGAGGAACTGGTATGCAGTAACGAAGCGTTTCTAAGCAAATTGACAATAGAAACATTTGTTAATTAAATTGGGGAGACGGTGCTTTTTCAAGTCTAAAACAATTCACCCTGTAAATTCACGAAGATAGGTTTTGAACTAATTTTCAAAGTTACGCCACGCCGACGCAATTGGCGCTTAATTGCACTCCTTCGTTCAATCGTACTGATATGTGCGCATTTGTCACAGATTTCTTGAAAAGCAAAAAAGGGAGGCTGAAAGGCAAGGTAATCATCATTAACGCACCGTTTACACACGGACAGCTACTGGCGTCATGTAAACAGCTCAAGAACGCAGTGCGTCAGACGGTGGACTGTCTTGTCTCATTTATGTGGTTTCCAAGAATTATCGGAACGGATTCGATTAATTAAAATAGTTTTACGCCCACTTGTTATTCTACTATACTACTTGTAATCAAAATTATCTTGCAGCAAATTGCAAAATGATAGAGATAGGTATAGGTCGAACAGTCGTTTTGAAGAAATCGTCCATACAAGTCTGTTAACAGGTTTATCAAATTTTAGTGAAATAACCTTTTTACTTTCTCATATACGTACGTAAATACGAAGTAACATACATAGTATATGTAAAGTTTTGTAATGCTGCATAAAATCGATTTCGGCATTTCGACGGAAATACACGCCTTGGGGTCGCCTGATACCGAAAAGGTGGTTTTATTTTTCCAAAAAACGTCTTTAAATTTTGTGGGTACTTTACATGAAACCCCACGGACAATTTTTTCCAAAAACGTCTCCAATTTTTTCTTTAAATTTTTTTGTAAGAATAGAGTAAAATACACTTATAACGATGGCATAGGTCCGATTTTCAGGTTTAACACTGAATTTTCAAAACTTTCAAAATCTTTCGGGCGTCTTCCTACAACTACAAAATTGAAGACAGAGTTTTTCTTCAAATAAAATTAGTTCTCCATAGTGAAGGTTTTCATGAAGGTTATACACATTTTTTGAAAATTTTAATAGTTGTCGCGCAATATGTGCAATTATAAAAAATTACAAAAACAAGATTTTCTCCAAAACCGCTCCCAATTTTGTCTTTAAGCTTTTGGTAGGGATAGTGCTCAATGTACTTTATAAGGTGACATAAACGCCACATAGCTATATTCTTTTTAAATTTGTTGAAAGATCTCTCATGCACATTTCTAGCAATTTGTAAACCCTATTGTATTTGTGATATAAAGTACTTAAAATGACTTCATATTAAGTTTTCGGAAAACTCAAAAATGTTCTTTGAAAAAGAGCCTGAAATTTCGAATTTACAGTAGCGCTTAAACACTGTTTTTTTTTAATCGACTCCAAATTTCTCAAAGAAAATTGCCATTTACTACGAGGTTTTACTGTTCTTTAATTATCTTAAAAGAATATTTCCGCTATACGATTAAGAAACAGAAAATGTCAAAAAATGTACTTGAGGCGGCGATAGATGGCAGCAAGCAAGAATATGTGGCAAGTTCGAATAGTTAACCGAGGCCAAAGTAAATAGAAAACTAATACCGGAAAGTCTGCCATTCTGCAGCACCACTAGTTTCTTTTGTAAACAACACACGGAAAGGGGGTGCAGAAGAGACGAATTCAATTTCCATCTAAAATGCTCCCGAGGCCATTCCCATCTTTCAGAGAGTACGGGAGAGAGAAAATTCACTTATTTTGGATGAAAAGTTTTGAAGTTATGATCGTTTGAATTTAACCATTTTTTCAATAACCGAGTGGTCTTGAAAACACTGAAGATCACCATACGACCATCATTTTTTCAGGCATAAATCAATTGGATAATTTTAGTAGTATCCACAAAAGTTTAAAGACAATCAAAATAAGATCGCTGATTTATTTAAATTGTTGTCATTACAAAATTTCGTGCTACGTATCACATGCCGCGTGCGCATGCGGCGTTTCACGTGACATGCTTTGTGAAACGTTTCAAGATATTTTGTAATGACAACGATTTGAAGAAATAATACAGCAATCTCATTTTGGTTGTATTGAAACCTTTGGGGGTACTACTGAAATAATAATAATAATAATAATAATAATAATAATAATAATAAGAAAATACTTGATTAATTTTTAACCATATTCAGATATAAATCAATTGATTCCCCTTTTTTTCTTCGAATTAATTTATTGTGCGACAATTGAGAAACAACAGATTAAAACAAATTATCTCGCAAACAAAATGCAATGCAGTATTAAGTGGTGATATTCTATGATTTAGCATTTTATGATATAATTTTATTTTCTCATTTTCCTCAGTGAAGGAATCGGCTCTCTACGGTGATCACGCAACTCGAACCAGGGGGCAAAACGGCGTTATTACCTATAATTGCTATTCATGAACCAAGCGCATTATAAGGACAAAGCATTTAACACCCAAATACTTTGTTAGGAAAACTCTAAAACAAAGCGAATTCTCGGAATCTAATAAAGAAACTGACATGCGATTTGTTGAGGGTATATTGAACAAATGCTTCACAAATAGTTCGAAACTAATTTGTTAATGTCTCCTGAGAATCGAACATCACAAACACTTCGCACTCCAACAAATATTCATTTCATTCATGCTTATTTTTACGCTTTCTTTCCTTCTTTGTGCACAACATCGAGTTCTTGTTGATATGTTTAACATGCGTCTTCGAAAGCCAAAACGAATTACGCACAAAGCACGAAAAAAATTTAATCATGCACATTCAAAATATGGGCCAGGAATGGCCTCGTTTCCTTCGTTATTCCCTTTCTCAGAAACCGCAGATTGATTTGGAACAGGGGTAAAGTAAAAGATAAGATGCAACAGTCATTACGGGTGAAGGTGAACAAAATGGAATGACGGGATGAGACCCCATCGTATTTTGTCCATTAAATCCAATAAACATAATATTCTTTTGCTCATCGTATTTTTGGAGTACGTACAGAAAATTGTAAATATTAATAGTTTTCCTCAAATTAAATGGAAAAAACTGTGGAGTTAATTTATATTTTTCATCTGTTGTTGCACAATTAGTGAGCATAACAAGTAATGG